TTGTAGCATCTGAACATGCATTTGCATTACTAACACATAGAAACATTTTGACAGTTACAAACATAAGATCTAAAAATATAGAAACTAAACGTTAGGTACCCTGGTCCTTTAGCTGATGAAAGAATGAGTAATTATAATTGTGGTACATAACAATGAGCTAAACTCTCAAAGAGGAGCTTTAGGCATGGAAAAATAAAATCCTTGTGACCTGTTTTTAAACTAACGGATTTGAAATTTGCTATTTATCTCAATCTCCTGCTCCAATCCTTAAAGTTAGAATGTTGTTGTTATTTTTTTTATTAAGGGACATTTTACTACTGTTCAGCCTCCTGTTGAGGAACACAATGCTTATCTAACTTACTACTGTATATCTGAATCTAAGCAATCTAAGTATTGTTTTCATCTAATGTCATAAGTGAGGAATATTAACTGGGATAGCAATCTCTTAGTAAAAGATTACTTCTACAGTAATAGTTTTATGGTATTCATTTCAAACAATACTATTTTATTGATAAAACATCATAAAAGGGTATAAACTGTTTCTCATCTTTATTTATGAAAGTACAGTAGGGTAATAGATAAAATGAATGAAAAGTAAATATTATGTCTAATCTTTACCCTCAAGCATGAAGTTACAGCATCCACAAGTGGCAAACATGGCTGCTTGGCTGCACTAATTTGCATAACATGATGACAGCTTGCATCTAGAAGTACATGACAAAGAGAATTTTGAAACCTTAGGTATCTCCTTACAGATTATGAGACTCTTCGGTGGGGAAAGTAACCAGTTAGTTTGCAGAGGAGATTCCAGGTTTGATTAGGGTAGGAGACAGAGATGTGCTCAAAATTACACTTTATAATTGATGTTCTGTGGTAAAAGTTGAGTTCAGTTAAATCATTATGTGCCATCAGCACAGATATGCAGTTAGACAGCCAGGACTGGGTGTTGGTTTTAGGGGTTTGGTTTTCTTTTTTGATCTCCTATTGTACCTATTGTACCAAAATGGCCTCCCTACTTGAAGTAGTCCCTGTTTCCACTCTCACAATTGCCATTACTAGCCAGAAGTCACTTCTGGATTTACCTTTTAAAAAAAACCAACAAAAAAAACCCAAACAAACAAAAAACCACACACCCATAAAAACCCCCACTCATGAGAGCATAATATTATTCTGTTATATCTGTAAGAAGACAAGGATATGCATGTGAAAGATATGATGGGTCCAGTTCTGTGATCGCCAATTTTACATTTGGAATACACTTGAATCTGCAGAAAAGATCTATTGTCACAACGCCTAGTGAGGGTGACTGCATTACTGCCCTGATCCTGTCTCTTAACACCTTGTTTGGAACTTTGGGGTTTCTGCATCCTCTCTCCAACAGTTACAAGCTATAAACCATGGTACAGTGGAGTTTCCCGCATGTGACTTTTTGTAATGTACAGTAGTTTTTCTTAACCAGTGAGAGCCTTGGGATAACTTTGCCTAATGCTGTCGGTCACAATCAGAACCAGAGAGCAAGAATCATTGCAAAATTCCATGCATTAACTAAATATTATTCTGGGGAAAGGGAATCTTCGTATTTTTGCTTGGAGGTTCTCATCAAACATGTGTCTTGCATTACCTTTCACTAAATATCTCTTTGACTGTTTTTGCTTGTGTTAAACAATCAGGAACAAATTTGGCATGTAGTTTGTTTACTACTTAACAATGAGGACTACTCAACAATTAGAAAGTTTGTCCTAGACTTCAGGCTGCAGATAATATCTCTAGCTTCCTTTTTATTTATTTTTTTTTTTTAATTTGTTCAAAGCAGAGTTCCAGAATCCAGACTAAAAAGGAGCTGTGTATTGTGTCTGAGGCTTTAGATCTTGTAGAGATTGGATTTATCAAACTTTTGTTGTTCCGCCTTTAAATGGCGTCACTCGTCTGTAGCCTGTAGGCCCAGACTATGCAGCTGATTTATTTGATTGCTTTATTTTTTAAATGTGGGAATTGCTTTAGGCATTTATGCTAATATTCATATTTTCTGAATTAGTGTTGTATTGTTACAGCCATTCTATTGGAGGAAACTATAGTATTCATGCAATTGAAATGGGAATGAAATGCATAATAGAGATTAGTATAAAAGTTGACATAAACCTTACATTTTAAATAAAGCCAGACAAAACTGGTAGCTGCTACATAAAAACGTTTTATCTTGCTGTTCTGCACCCATTCATCTGACAGTCATGCTCTTCGGTACTCTTTCGATGTCGTTGTGGTTCGGAATTTTGGCAGCAAAGACAACCTGTTCTTCATGGGGACAGTGCTTTCCCACCCCCACCCCTCCTCCTATCACTGGTAAAATGTGGCACTCAGTAAAAAATTGTTCTCCTGTCCATCAGCTCACTTTCAGAAAAAGCAGCTTCTTTTTCCTGCTAACTTTTAGGCCAGGTTCCTTCTAGAGCACAGACTTGAAGGGATTTACTAGGCCACTAAATCTGGTCCTATAGCATTGAAGGGAATCATGTCCCCTAACAAATCATGTTCTAGCCTGCATTATAAAAAGAGTTAATTTATTTGGTTCATTTTTCTCTAGTGTTGGTCCCCTTGATGTATTTGTAGACCTGATCTCGGTAGCCCTCTGAGCTTTAGATTGCTGATGGGTGGTAGAAACACCGATTTCACAATTTGAAGCAAATATAGTAGTATATGGGTGCTGACGCCATTAGAAGTGGGAGAGTCCCAAGAACAGGCTCCAGCTCATCCTCGTTCTTTGGCCCTCCAAGAAAGAACAGTGTAGTTCTGCTTCCTTGGGAAAGGTCAAGTTGTGGACCCTTCCTTGATCCTAACTACATTCACACCTGAATGCAGTTGTAACATTGTTTTGGGGAAGACCACTTAACAAAGCTATTTTACTCTCTGTTTTCTTCTCTTGTTCTGTTTTACTCCTGGCCAATACAGTAGCCTGCATCAGTTCCATTTCTACTTCATTTTTGCAGAGTATGAGTGACAAGAAATGTACACACTTGCTTCAGATGAGCTCTTGCCACTTTGTGTGACTATTGTTATACTCAAGATCTATTTTACTTTGTAAACCTTTTGTAGCTGCAAAGAAGTAAATAGACAATAGCTTCGTTTTACAACAAGAAAATCTCATATTATTTGTCCCATCTTTATCTCAGTTCCAGGCTTAAATGAGATTTATGTCCCATTTAAAAAACATTTAGACCGATTATAGCCTATTAGAAGGATAGTGCGGGATATCCTAATTATATTTTTCTGAATTACATTAGTTTTCCCTTTGAATTCAGAAAATCTGACTATCATGTCCTATTTCAGTCCATTTGACTTCAGTCTTAAATTCCTAATAATATATTACATAGATTAGACAATTGTATAGGAATTTCTTGCTAATTTCTGACAGATGACGTCAATAGCCATGCCTTGAATTTAGGTCTTTAACCTTGTGAACGATAGTTATGACGTACTTGGTTTCTAATAAAATTTTCAGTTCATGAGCAGAATGTTGTATTTTCACTTCTCTGTAACTAGTTAGGAATCTATGAGGAAAGGAGGATGAAATACCTTCAAAATCGATGGTTATGAAGGTTTAAGGTGTGGGGGGAAATAATTAATAAAACAATTGGCCAGCCAATGACATCCTCAGAAAACCTATACGGCAAGCACTGTGAGTTTCCCATTTCCTTTCCTAAGCAGTCCCAGTGGTAGACTTCTGGGTCAGGCTTTTACTTCTTCTCTTCAGCTACTGCTCAAACATCAACGAACAAACCTGTGTCTGAAAACTTAAGTGAATCAAATTTGATGACAGGGCAAACATCTTGTGGGTACTTTTATGTTTTTTTAAGACATGAATTGGATCATGACATTCTTTGCTCTGGCTAAATTAATTCTACTTTTTCTAATCTCATTTCTATTAATTAATTTCTAAATAATTTTGCCAGTGGGGCTGTAGATGATACAGCACCTTTGTGCTAAGATAGGAACAGTGTAAAAAAAAAAAAAAAAAAAAAAGTATATGCTTCCTGACTGCAGTGTAAAAAGAACTTGAACTTACAGTTCTAATTATCTGGCTTTTCTTCTTTCCTCCAAGTGGTTCACAAAGGTTTTCTTCAGTGTGTTTAGTACAGTGTAAAACTCAGCAACCTGAGCAGGTTAAATATTAACCTCTTCCATCTATGTAATGGTTGTAGCCCTGCGTTGAAAAGTATTTCATCTAGAATCATGTCGTTTTACAGAGAAGGGTCCTTTCCTGGCACTGCTTCCTTCTCATACCAATGATACAAAATTTACAATAAGCTGAATTCAAACAGCTTAGAGCCCTGTGGAAGACAGTCTGTGAATTACTTGTTGCTTTTATGCTTGCAAAGCAAATATGTACAAAAGTGTATTTTAGTGGCTAATTTTTACCCCCTAAAGCAAGACGTTCTGATGGTTTGATTTTTATGTTTTTGTTTATTTTAAAAACAAAAAAAGCTTTGAGACCTTTTATATTCCCTAAAAGTGATCAAAGAAAATCCCAATACGTACGCGGTTATTTTGCTTTTTAAATAAAATTCATATTGGCGCCTACTACGTCAAACACTCAAATAAAATACAAATTCTCACAGTTTTAGCTTACATCAAAGATGGAAATCATTGTGTGGTTTTGGAAACCAAAGCAATTCCAAGATAGACACAGTTGGAATTTTTTTTATATGACAGCCTGTTTCATACACTTAGTAACATCAGTGTGAAGTTGAAAGTGTGCATCCTAATGAAGGAGGAAGTCTAGGGGAACTTTTATAGTGACTCTTTTAGGATTAGGATTCAACTAGGTGACATAGTTACACTTGTGATGGATTTATGCAGCAGAAACAAACTTTAAAAATAGTAATTACTCATTTTTAGATGTGTATATAGACTACAAGGTACTATTTCTTGAATTTGTCGTTAGTAATGTGAAATATCTGGTACATTTTACTGGATATTAATACTAATAGTTGGGTTTCTTTTGGCAGGTTGTCAAGTTGTTAAGTAACAAAAGATCTCAAGCTGTTGGAATATTAATGTCTAGCCTTCACTTAGACATGAGGGACATTCAGCATGGTAAGTGAAATAAATATTGTTGATTCTAGCTCAGATCACGTCATTAATAATCTGGAAATGCTAATTACTTCTATCTTCTGATATGTGAAATAAATTAATAAGAGGCTTTTTTTATACTCTGTTTTTCTGAAAATAGCCTGTTCTGGCATTTATTTTTCTCCTTTCTAGTAACATGTTTCCTTGTCCTGTATAGAAAATAAAATTATTTATTTGCAGAATTACCATCTGTATTTTTTGGTGTCAGTTATCTAAGTGGTATAAAAGATAGACACTTTGATTTTGGTCTTTCTGAGGAAGAAAGTGTGATGTGTTGTTTATTTTAATTCAGATAGCCTCAGGACATCCAAAAAAGTGAATAATAACATTTTGTTGATTTGCTATATAAAATAGTTCTTATATTTTGGTTAGCACAAACTGTGGAGTTCTTTCATCTTCAACAGCATTCTTTGCAAAGGGAGACCTTTTGGGGGAGTGTAATCCTTTTCACATTTATGCTAAGAGACAGTAGTGCAAAAAGGTGAAAAGTGGAATTGCATTTATATTCAGAGCATCCCTTATGTTTCCCAAAGGCTTTGGATAGATTTGAAGCAGATTGAATTATCCTGTGAAGTGCCAGCCTATCTATTAAATAAATGTGGTTTCAAGTATAACACAGACTTCATAAATCACAAAAACATCTTGTGAACTTTCTAGGCTACATATTTACAGCCGTGCATTCAGTTTACTATGATTTGCTTATTTTGTGAAATTATTCATAAATAGAACAAATTTCAGAGCACTCTGTCAGCTAGTGAATAACTCTTAATCACAGTTTTACATTTTTATTAAACTGTTTTGATGGTTACTAGACTTCCTCAAGCTGAAGCACTTAAGATGGTAGTCATAGAGCAAGGCGCCAGTACTGGCGCCAAGAAGTACTTGGTATTTCCAAAGCTGGCAGATGTAGTTCAGTTAAGTCATAGAGCAAAATCTGAAAACAATGATATGGTCCTTTCCTTCAGTCAAATATTCAACTTGGTTTCAGTTAATAATGAGAACCTTATGAACAAAGGAGTCCGCCTAACATCTGTGTCTGTGGTAAAGCCAACACAAGTTCATTGAAAATTTGCTTGCTTAACATGCAACACTAACAATAACATGGCATGAATGTCAGTAGTTGAAGGGGTCAAACAATATTATGCTTAACCTTTATCCTATTACAATATTAAGCACACATGATCATCTAAGAGCTGTGTGCAGATTTTGTATATTCCTCTTTCAATAGCTGTTTTCTAAAACCAAAAGTCTTTGCAAAGGGGAATTTAGTAGTGCTCTTATTCCCTTGCTGTGCAGAAGTGATTGAACAAACATGAGAGAACTTTTGTCTGATGGAGGAATTTGTGGAAATGATTGGAAAATCCTGATGTCAAAAATGTTTTTTTTTTAAGAACGTAAAATGGGCATGGAGGAAAAGCGGTGAGGAGCAGCAAAGAAATTTGCATGGTGGGGGACAAGGAAAATAGAGGGGAGATCTCACCAAGAAGTATTTCTGGCATCAGTCACTCCGTGCAGAGTTCTCTGAGTGATCTAACCGTAGAGCCCATGGAGAAATTATAAAATCACAAGCCCAAGTATTTAGCTTCACTTTAATGTATTCACTATTTTTACTTGCTTGGTAAAAAGTGAGGGGTTTACATACTTTTGAGTTTTATAGCTTACTGGTTTATCTGCTGCAATTTGAATATACAAACGAGAAGGTACTATCAAAAATTAAAATAATGTTCAAGAGCGCATGCATTAGCAAAATAGGCAGTTGATATATTTGCATCTTTATACATTAAGATTTAAGATCTATGACAGCAACTACAGCAGAAAATGTGATCAGTGTTCTTTGTTCCCTGGCCCGGGGTTTTAGTGGTGGTCTTGAGTTTTTGCCATGTTTAATGTACAGTGACATGTACATTTACCCATATCTCAGTACAACACAAGCAATGGTTTTTTTTCATAAATTTGAAAGGCAGTCAAATGAAACTTTCTTTTTTCCCCCCACTCTGGCAATTTGTGGTACTAGGCAACTCTCTTTATAGGTTCTCTTGTAAATATTCCTTATATTACATACAAAGCATATCTGTGGGATGCCGTGTTCATGCAAATTGCAGAAGAATTGTAATTTTTTTTTATTATTATTTCTTTTTTTTACTGGCCATAGAAAAGCACCCAGAAAGAGAGAGAAACTTTCAATGCAGCGTACTATTCAGTCCATTTCCTGGTTTGCATGCTATTGTGTTTTATTTTTCTAATGGTTTAGACAAATTTCAAAGTGTTACAGGAACAGAAGGGAAAACAGTTGTGCTGGGTATTAATTCACCTAATAATTTTAGGATTTCAAGTTTTAATTCATATTGTGTTTAACTGAAGAGCTTAAAATAACTTGAAACCTAGGCAAATGTTGTATTTAATGTCTTGTAATTTTTTTTTTGGTTGGTTGGCGTTTTTTGGTGTATTTTTGTTTGCTTTTAAAGATACAAAACAATGGTGAAATATTGTCTGCAAGAAACAATCCCTGATGAAAGATTGTTTTGGAAACTTGAAAATTTAAATCATTTATGATATTTTGATATTTTGTTAACTGATCTTGAACACAGCTACTTTTTCATGCATGTGTGATCAGATGGCATTTAGTGGAGGATCTCAGAATATTGTAATATATGCTAAATAGCTTGCTTTTATGATGATTATATCCTTGTTAAGCATCTGCTTGCAGAATTGCATTTGTCTGCTTCCGACTTTGAAATAGGTTTAGTAAGACAAATTCCCAAACCCTGGCTGCTTTTAAAATATCTTTACAGTGTGGAAGGAGTAGTTGTAATAATCAGAGCACATTTGTACTGAACTCTAGTATGTCTTTCTAGTAGTGCTTTAAAGTAGGGTAGGTTGATTTTTCTTGTTGTTATGGGGTTTTTTTTAGTAGATTCTAATTGCTAACAGAACTCCCAGCTATTTTACGCAGTCTAGGCTAGAACTGTAAGAAATGTTGGTCTCTTTAGCCGCAGTGCCATTTCTCTCTGTTATTAGTACAAAAATGAGTCCTCTTCTCATGGTTTCTCTGGTTTCACACAAGGTTTTACTGACGCCTATTTTTTACAATCATCTATCAACTATGCAAAACACTTTATCCAGGCATTTTTCTTGCTTTTTTATTTTTGCTATACCACAAACATCCTTTATCCAGTATTATGTTCCCACTGGAAATATAGCTGTATTTGGCTGCATGATACAGCCAGAGCTTGAGAAATGCCAAACAAGCACTTCTTACATATTTTTGCCCTTACAGCTCAGATTTTCTTCCTAGAGAAAAGACTTTGGTTTTAACATTAGTCTTTTTTTTTTTTTCCTTAACATTTCAGAGGTGCAACATTTGCTTAAATTAGAGATCCAACAAGATTCCAGTTAACTGCATACAGTAATCTATGATGAACACCCTATACATTAATATATAATTGCATGTTAAGCCTGTGTCTGCATTTAGGGACCATGGCTCTTAAATAAGACCTCTCTGTTTAATAAAGTTGTCTGTCATCACGTGAAATGTAACAACTGTTTGAAATTGTAGCTATGTTGCGGAGACTATGGTTGTCAGTGCCTTCCCCAATCCCCTTGCTTATAAAGATACAATGTATCCTCTTCCGTGTTTAAGCTTTTATGGCTGTTAACAAGTGCAGTAAGAATAGCAAAAAACTCTTCTCTGGGTGTGGAAAAATAGAAGGAAGAAAATTAAACTGAAGATGTCAGCCAGAAGAAGAGCAAACTTTATATTTCATGCAGATAAATATTACATTTACTACACAGTCAGATTTATATCTGGTATTTATTTCCTAAATGGAAATTAATCTTTTGTTCAACAAAATCACCTTGGTCTGAGCGTGCCTTGTAAATGTTGAAAGTAGAAGCTGGCAAAAATGGCGTATGCAATTCTCTGTTTTTTGAAGTTGCCTGTAATCTCATCCAATTCAGTAAGTTTCTCTTAACAGGGTTTATCATTTCAGGTACTGTGTTACCTCTGGCATTGCTGCAATAGTCTACCTATATTTCTGTAAAGTTTTGCATAGCACTTTGTGGTTGCCCTGGCTCTGTTGGAAGTAGTTTGGAGGTTTCTACCTCTGCATTTTGGACCACCTTTCTCATATCCTCATTTAATAAGTCATTTTTCCCCCCTCTCTGAGACACTGGTAATCTACAGAATTTGATGGAGCTACCTGTCCCGCTCTGATAATTGAAAAAAACATACATATGGAAGACCAAGGCTCTTTTTATTACAGCTCTCAACTCATTGTTGGTCAGTGATACTGGGAAAGGAGGTTATATAAAAGAATGTAATAGGAAATAGAGTTATGGAAAGGGCAGGCAGATTCACCTAACAGCTGGTAAAGCCCAACCTTTTAATCTGGGTTTGAGATTATTTTACTGAAAGTTGTATTTGCGGCAGAGCTTGCTGTGCTAACAGAGGTACAACTTTGAACAACAGACCTATCTTCTGCCCTGAATTCAAGACAGATGTGCAGGAAGTGAATGTACTTTAAATGTTAGCGGGCAAAATAAATGTTTATTCTTTAGTATTTGGCTATTAGTGACAAAGGAACATGAGAAAATCTTAGTTTTGTTTTCTTACTTGACCGCTCACACTGACACTTAGAAATGATGAGCTAGGAGAGACTTTGTCAAAGGTTAACTGAATGATTTCACTGGAGGAGGAGGATAAAATGTCTCTTATGCTGCATTATTTAAATGTTCTGTGCAGGAATTCTTCATGCATCGAAGTATCACGTAGTCTCGGTGGTCATAGGTCCAAGAGATGTTCTAAATGGAAAGCAATCAGGAAAGAATGACTCAACATCTGGAAAATAAGACTCATGATTAGTTTATCTTATGGAAGGTCCAGAGGTGATCTGAGCATTATTTAGCTTAATAACAATGTATGTGTATAAGAATAATAATTTGAAACTCGTAATACTGAAATATTT